TATATATATATATATATATATTTAAAAAAAAAAATCATGCATTTTCTTTTTAAACCTAAACAAAAACTAAAAGAAAATTATATAAATCAATACTTATCGTTCAATGGATTAATGCGAAGAGCTCTTTTTTTTTTTAAAGATAAATTTCCTAAATATAAATTGTGTATTAACAGTTTCTCTTAATATGCTTTATTCAAAATATGTTATCTCTGTAGCTAAAGCAACATTTTAACCCTACATCTGTCCATTTTTGTGTATAGATATATTACCTTCACACAGTGTTTGTTGCCATGGTGACATAATAATCTTGAACTTAGAGCCCGTACAGATAGAAAAATTAACATTGTTGGATGAACCATAGATGGTGGACTAATATACAGCCAAATTTAAGGTTCAATTTTAACCAAACGGCACACTATTATTGTTCGTTATGACTAACAAACCCAAATACTGATATTATATAAGTGACAAAAGTGTTAAGTCATGTCGTTTGTATAAATCCATAAAATTTTACATCACGTTTAGACACCATACGATGTAGTTAAGTCTTTTTGCTTTTTTTTTAGTTTTAAATCCATTTTACCAAAATCTAGGTATGCAGTGCAATAAAATGCAAAATAAAACTCATTCAGAAACTTTCAAATACTATATAATAAGTATTGAATTACAAAGCACACTCAACCTTAAAGTTGGACATGACTGATTAATTCACTGGCTTATTTCAAAAACATAACTAGAAAAGAATGGGCATCACAAAACTACAAGAAACGGTCTTCTTAAGCCCAACCTTTAGTTAACATTAAGACCATCGGAAATAATTCAACAAGTACTTAGCAGAGTAACTGTTGGGCTTTAGTTAACATTAAGACCTTAAAAAATAATTCAACAAGTACTTAGCAGAGTAACTCCCAACAGTTACTCTGCTGAGTACTTGTTGAATTATTTTCCAAGGTCTTAATGTTAACTTAAGTTCAACAGTTACTCTGCTAAGTACTTGTTGAATTATTTTCCAAGGTCTTAATGTTAACTTAAGCCCAACAGTTACTCTGCTAAGTACTTGTTGAATTATTTTCCAAGGTCTTAATGTTAACTTAAGCCCAACAGTTACTCTGCTCGGTACTTATTAAGACCTTAGAAATTAATTCAGCATTAACTTAGTACCACAATTTCCAAAATATAAAAGTTTAATATCAATTTGTTCCTCGCACCTTGGCACACAATAACCCTCATTCACTGAAAAATTGAGCAAATGTTCATAAAACGCAAACATATAGTTTGGTTTTTACTTATTACAAGGTTCTTTACTACTTAAATACCACACATAATGACATTTACTTATGCACTACACGCACAGACAGACACCATTCTTTAACAATAACAGAAATGGACGTCCAAAACTTACTTTCTTAATTGTATTATAAAATAATCTTTAGGCAAGGAGAATATTACAAATCATTTTGATCACAGTAAATAAACTTGCTGTTTGTTTCAGCAGTCCAGAATAATTCCAATACTAAAAACTTTGATCACCAAAAATTTTAAGAAAATAAAGCATGCCAAACCATAATTTACATTTTACGCTACAAACAACAAACTTGTAATCTTTTCCCCACATAGCAACTACAATGATGTTTTTTTTTATTTCACCGAAACTTATCCATTATTACATCAGTTCCAGAAGACATTTCATACTCACACTTTTGTTTCTTTTTTTTTGAACTACGTAGAACTAGTAGAGCTTAAAACTTTTCACTATAAGAAGCAAAACAGAAAACTTTCTAGCCCCACAACACTGTTTTTGCACAAAATCCTACATTAATGAGAACTATTAACTTACTAATTGAATTAGGGATAAATAAATCAGACCTTAAATGCTATCATTTCCCACTGTTACAAGTAAGGCATTCTCACAAAGACTGACGAAGCAACTACCGCTACATTCTGTTATCTAGTAAAAACTAGAAGAAGGCTGTTGCGTTAATACTGGCTGTTATCCAAAGTCAAACATCTTTAGTTTCATGACCACTTATCCAATACCGGCTGTTATCCAAAGTCAAACATCTCCAGCTGTATGACCATTTATCTCTGGGAAAGTTTGAGGTTTGGTAGAGTGGTTTTCTTCAAGTCTATCTTCATCTTTCAGCAGGGGAGATCCTCTTCTTGACTGCTAAGCAGAAAACACTACAATCACACAAGCACCAACATGAGTAAAAACATCATCTATAACTTTAGAACAAATATCTGTCACGGTACTGACTTTCTAGAGTATTTGTTTAGTAAATTTTGTGATTGTGCTTTTATTTCGGCATTCAGGGTGAATTTACCTGTCTCAAAAACTGAGCCCAACAACCTTCACCGGACAGAATGCTAAAGAAGGCACACAAAGTTACACCTATTCCTATACAAATCCATCAAGATTCAGTCAGCATTATATAGCAACTAGAAATACTTTTTTGAGCTTTATAAAAAATAAGTAACGAATGATTTGGATGGTAAATCTTTACGCAAGCAATAAGTAAGAATACTTGATGTAAAGCATCAATAACAATATATTTGTGGATCACACATTCTCTGATAGTCCAGTAATCAGAGGTCAGCAAGGGTCACAGAAATGTATTGTAACATTTACTCATCCAAAAATAGAGAATTCATCACTCAGATTCTATGTTAAGTGAAGTTTTTAGTGGCCTACAAAGTCATACACCTATGTCGTAATGAACATTTACTTCTTTTAAAAGCGTTACACGGCTTTTACAGATTAATTCCAGTTTTTAGCTATATCAGTTTCTGTGATGTCAATTTGTAGAAGTTATCTTAAGAAATATGAAGTATTTAATCACTAGTATCCATCTATGTACACACACACCTATTTAAGATAATTTATTATTTAATTTCTTTTGCAAGGGTTGGGAGTGACGCATAGTAGAAATATTAGGGTGGTTTCATTCCATTTATACTTTATGAATTATAAGAACCTTTAAGAGTAACTGCCTCCCCACAATCGATTTTCCATAGCTGCTGGATAGTTTGACATCAGTGCCTGGATTTTGTCAGATAGATGGAATATCCCCAATGCATTTGGGTGCTGTGACCAGAGGCGTTATCCGTTATGACTTAATGTTGACAACTAGAACTGATAATGGAAAGTAATTGTTTAATTTTAGTTCTATTATAATGTTTGTTTTATATTCAGTTCATTATTGTTTTACAGTGCGGATTTAGTTGCCTGTATATAAACGAATGTGTGTATACATACATACTAATGATTAAATTACTTCATAGTATACAACTAAAGGCAACTGAATTCTTCCATAATGTATGTTCTTTTATCTACGACCAAACTTCCACTGTATAATAAGGCAGGAAAGTCTCCTGTCTGCCTCGACTCAAATGAAACCATGTAACAAAATTACATAATCACTACCCATTCAAACAATCTTCAAACTTTATTTTAAAACCCTTACCTGCCTAGTGCCTATCCGGTGATAAAAAAACAGGGAAGTGGCTATTAATAACAATAAGCCACCAACAGCAAGGAGACAGTAGGAACAGATAGAGGCATAGAAAGGTGGATTTTCCATGTCTCTAATCAACTCTTCAACCAATTCTTTTGTCATGAATCCAGTCTTCAGAGATGGAAAAAAATACAATACAGTTTTTTTACTTGATAACTACAAGAACTTATACTGGTCATTTATAGTAAATATTAATAAAAAAAAATTCCGATGTATTATGTTCAGAGGCTTGTCAATAACTTAGAGAGTTTTATACAACTTAATGTGATTTTTTCAGTTCAATGTCTTTACTAGCACGTAATTTTTTTTCATGAAAACAAATCAGTTTGTTTCTAGTATATATATACACACACAGAGAAGTTCAGTCAACAAGCCATGACAAAAAAAAGACTGATAAAGTCTTGAAATTAGTGCAATCCTTGTTCAAAAGTCACTATCATTAAATGTAAAAGTGAAAAGGACCATCATTGACAAGAAGAAATTGTTAATTAGTTTCTAAAACAATAAAATTTCAGGTACAAATAATATAATAAAACACACACCACAATTACACCCTAATTTTGGAAAGGGTTCAGAATTTATACAAGTCATGGTACACACATCTTAACTAGAAGAAAATTAAGCTTTTATTGTAATGAAGAAACTGCTGTTTATATATCTCTAACAATTCTATAAACAGTTAAACAATTGGTCTGATTTATGGAAACTTTCCAAAATCTAAGATTTAATGAAATTTAATTTTTAGTTATTACATCCTGTACTGTAAGCAATTCTCCAAAACCAAGCTGTTTTTACATTAGAGGAAAGTAGTACAGATGAAATTACTTTGTTGTAAATGACAAAAAAATTGTTCTAATTTATGAAATTCTCATGACAAAACTTACAACTTCTTGCCACAAAATCGGTAACACCAGTTCTGTGATGTTGGAAAACTGCCTGAAAACAGTGGACTTATATTAGGCTAAAAGTACTTAAGTGAAAAAAAACAAAGAATATTTGAAATCGCAAGTCAAGCTATGAAGAACTGATAATAGTTTAGCTGCCTGTTCCCCATAAGTAAGTGAAAAATAATAATTACAAGTATATAAGACTGTACATTCAACTAGCAGTAACTAGTATTCACCTGTATCTTGTGACTATTCCCCAACAAGCTTTGTCCTTGTGACTATTACCTAAGTTTTGTCTACTTAACTGTTCAGTAACTAGTATTCACCTGTATCTTGTGACTATTCCCCAACAAGTTTTGTCTACTTAAGTGTTCAGTAACTAGTATTCACCTGTATCTTGTGACTATTCCCCAACAAGCTTTGTCTCATTAAGTGTTTTGAATGTTCAGTAACTAGTATTCACCTGTATGAGACAAAGCTTGTTGGGGAATAGTCACAAGATACAGGTGAATACTAGTTACCGTATACTTAACTGGAAAAAACTTACTGAGTATAGCCAAAACACAAGTTTAGTGTTCTATAACAAAAGTTTAATAGTATTATATCAACAACAATAAAAATAAACTCTCCTACTAAGATAATAAATATTTATCTAAGAGTTTAAAACCAAGACTTACCTTATAATTTTATCTTGTTCCAAAATGGCATTAATCTGAAATCGAGCACCAATGTTTGTTGATAACCCAGAGACCTAATAAATTGTTATAAAAATATTTTCTTGCATTAAACAGTGCAGCACAATTTGACATCAGTGTCATGTTCTAAAAGTAGTTTACTCCTATTCAAGTTTTTAGAAAACTTTTAACAACCACATCATAGTTTAGCATACCAAAAACACATGTTTACCAGGTTAGGGTTTAGAGAATCACAAAGAAATAAAAAAAGATAATCTTGTGCACGAACCTTTATTTTAACTCAAGAGGATATTACTTTTAAAACTGAAAGTATTCTTACTGGATGAACATCAAGGAAGAACTCGTGACGGGACTCGTTGGGTTGGAGACCTTCGACTGCTTTCAAGTAGGATGGGGATGCTCGATAGAAATGGGGCAAAGAGAGCCCCACAGGGGAACCTAACACAAAGCAAATAATTCAGGTTAGTTTGTTGCAAAATTTTTAAATTATACAAAAAAATGCACATACATGGTTAACTTCACTTCAAAATAAATAAAAAAAATTAAATTTGATAAAAAAAACAATCATTATTAAAGTGTCATTACAAATGTATAAATTTACATATTGCCTGTATAACTAAGTTCATTCTTGTTCATTTTGGAAGTTAGTAAAACAGCTAATGTAACTATATTTCAGTAAATGAAAAGCCCACCTCCCTATCTCGTATCTAAATTCCACTACCAATACTTTAATTGACACTATTGGGTTCAAGCTACAATGGACTCTCTTTGATTTTATTGCCAAAATTATTATCTGTAACATTATAGTATACATATATTACTGATCTATAACACTCGTGATCCCAAGTGGAATAGCAGTAAGTCTGAGGGTTTATAACACTAAAAAGTGAGTTTTCACGGCCCATGGTAGACACAGCACAGATAGCTTTGTGCTTAGCTAGAAACACAAACCATTACTAAATATACATTTAAAACTAAGAATGCAAGATTTTGACTGTACCCTGCACATCTAACTGTAACAGTTGTTGGCTAAGGGCAGCCTCAAAGATACAACTGGTGGTGCTTTGAACTACACAATTTTTAATCACGTATCTGTACAAGTAGTTGGAAAATATCTTGAGTTTTAATTCCCAAATTGGTACGTGAAAAAAATAAAAAAATCATATAGCTGAAGTTTGGTAGTTTCCAAATCTTTAGTTATTGTTGTATGTTTAGCAAACTAGAATACATATAGTTTTAAATCCAATCAAACACAGTATCAAGAGAGAGTTATAAATAGTGTAGTCTATATACTATTTTACAAAAACAATGAATATACATGTAAAAAACAAATATTGCTCTATCTTTCATAACTTAAACCCTTATTGTGGATTTTGAGAAAAAGCAATAACACAACAAAAATGAACAACTGCTTTAGTAATGAATAAAAACTTTATAATTAGTAGATATATAGTCGTACCTCTGCACAAATAAGATGCTTCCAATAATGTTACATTACTTATACTGACAATGCTTGGATCAAGCTACATCCCACAACTCTATAATCATACTGACAATGCTTGGATCAAGCTACATTCCACCAGTCTGTATACTCATACTGACAACACTTGGATCAAGCTACATTCCACCACTCTGTATAATCATACTGACAATGCTTGGATCAAGCTACATCCCACAACTCCGTATACTCGTACTGACAACGCTTGGATCAAGCTACATCCCACCACTCTGTATAATCATACTGACAACGCTTGGATCAAGCTACATCCCACCACTCTGTATAATCATACTGACAATGCTTGGATCAAGCTACATCCCACAACTCTGTATACTCATACTGACAATGCTTGGATCAAGATACATCCCACCACTCTGTATACTCATATTGACAATGCTTGGATCAAGCTACATTCCACCAGTCTGTATACTCGTACTGACAACGCTTGGATCAAGCTACACCCCACAACTCTATAATCATACTGACAATGCTTGGATCAAGCTACATTCCACCAGTCTGTATAATCGTACTGACAATGCTTGGATCAAGCTACATCCCACCACTATACTCATACTGACAACTCTTGGATCAAGCTACATCCCACCACT